GAGCAAACCTTTGAAAAAAAAAAAAAAAACATTAAAAGAATCTTAAATGAAGGGATTAATTATACTTTGCAATATACAATGTTCTTTTACAGTATAATTTTTTTATATTTGAGTGTACGTAGCCAGTTTTCCTTTATAATGGTTTTTCTCCAACAGGATATCAATACATTTCTTCTCCATGGATCGCTTGGGAGAAGTGGGCGGGGTCACTGGAGGGGTCTCGTCGGCTGCCATTGGACGAGCCCCATAGAAGGCGGGACCTAAACAACCCCCACTACTCATCCATGCAGCCTTCAACAATTCATTTCTCAAAGCAGTGAGAGACGTGCTTTGTTGCCATTGTGATCAAACCACACGAGGAGAAGAACTACAGGAACATAAAGCAGCCGAAACACTGGAAACTTAAAGCAAGTACATAATTTCTCACTATAACCGTGAAGATCTTTGAATCCAGGAGCTCACTGACCGGTAAGTAATACATGTTTATTGGCAAAGTGTGATCTATTTGTTTTTTTAAGTACTTTAAGAGATGCATAATTCATAAGATCAGAAAACGAAAATGAGCGAAACAAAATACTTGAGTTAAATTTAATTGATGGGGAAAATGGACTAGTTGTGAATATATCAGTTATTGTGGACGCAAAAATAACATTTTTGATTCCCTTTTTGATGGTCTTAGAGAGCTGGACCGTATTTTATATATGTAAAGTGTATCTATACCTTCTTTTATTTACTTTGTATATGAGTCAGTGACGTCACGTGCAATTTTTTGTCCAGATATGTTACTCAGAAAAAAAAAAAAAGCAACAACAACAACAACAAAAAAGATAAATGTTAGTGGTTTGGCAATAATATTCATTAATAATATTAATAATAATAATAGAAGCAGACTATTTTTTTTAACTTTTTTATTTTTTTTTAATATTGAAGTAATTTGTATTTCTGTCTTCATTGTGGCACATTAAGGTGCATGCTGTTGTTCTCTGTGGGCATGAAGTGGCTAAACTGATCATTAGAAGATTAAAGAGGAAGATGTCTTCTAGCTGAGTTTAAGAGAGAATACTTGGGTTTTAGTTCAACTAATATATATATATATATACATATTCTTTATGCTTGTGGCAGTGCATTGAATATTGGCATGGCAGATGGCCTGTAAGCATGTCAGCTCTGAATCTCTGAGTTCTCTGGACCTTATGGTCAGCAGACAGGGAACGAGAGGACAGAGGTCATGGAGAAAGTGGGAAATCAGCAGAAGGTACTCTATAAAACTCGAAAAAAGAGTGATTTTGGATGTGTCCCAACATTAGTTCGCTGAGGAATTACACAAGCAGACTAAAACTCTGGCACAAAAGTCAGATTTTGATTTCACATTGATGTGTGTTCAACTCATAAATCTATCTATAAAATGTTTGCACAAATGCACAATTATAATAGAATATACTGTATATAGCAATTAAATTTACAGAACCTTCATTCATTTAAATAAAACCATAGAAAAGCATAAACACACCTAAAGCACATCATTTAAAGTTAAAAAATGTCTCTGAAACATTTTTTGCCTTTTGCCCTGCATTTTGCCTTCTGACGTCAGGTTCCCAATTCATAAATACAAACTTCCCAGTAGGACTAGACAGATTAAGTTGACTGTCAATCATCTGTGGGAACCAGATGTGGGAGTTTTGTGGTCGGTCCAGGTCAGAGAATTTGAGACCGGATGAAATGATGTGAAATAATTTTCTTTGAAATATATATGCCTGTAAAATATATATATATAGTGATCCGTTTTTTTCCCCGTTTTTTTTCTGGACTCCTTTTTAATGGTTAAATTACATTTTATTAATCAATGATAATTTCGATATATTGCCCAGCCCTACTCATCACCAAGGTCAAATCAAATTTAATAATGTGATGTCACTGTCTGCAGATATTGACAGCCACACTTGTTACCCCACCATGCACAACCAGTTAAGCATTTTAAGTTATCTTCCTCCTGCATGCACATACACTTAAGTTGACTGTCAATCATCTGTGGGAACCTTATATAAAAATACATTCTTTCTTATAATCCTTTTCATAAATTCCAGAAAACGTCTCCGGGAAAAATCATGATGCTTATGGGACCATGTTCAGCCCCAAATGGTTTGAGATGAGTTATATTTGTAAAGGAGACTTTTAGACAAAACTTGTCTGACTCTAGTTTGAGGTGTTGGTCAGTGTGACGTCTGTATTATTGTGAATGTCAATAAGGCAGCACATTGTTGAATGGTCATCAAGGACAGTGCATTGTGTGAAACAGCTGCGAGGGCTGATAAAAATGAGGAGAGAGCGTGACAGGTCTTCTTAATACTGAGCTTTACACCTGAGTTATTGTATTTCGCTCATCTCAAAAGTTGTTAGTTGTACCTTTACCCTATGATTCTGGCCACTTTGTAACTGCATGTTGCTAATTATTATTATAATGCGCTCTTACGTGCTCCTTTTTTTATGACCATCTATTGACCTTCCTATGTTTGCAAAAAGACTAGCTGACCTGTATTCCACCTCAAATTGCCTCACCGAGTTGCTAAATTTATCAGCTCAAATAGACGTCTTTAATGACCTTGGCCGCAACTGGTTTTCTTTAATGGTCAACTCGATATTTAGCAGCGTTAGGGCTGCCAAAAACATGTATCGCAGGCAGCCTCGGGACTCCATGCCTCACATATCACTGTCATGTGAAATTCAAGCTCCTGCCAGAATTCAAACCCAACCCACTCTGGACCCCAAAGAGGAGCTGCTGTTTGTAATGCCTGATCAAAAGTTTGTCACATTATCCTATTGATGCTGATTATTCAGATACAGGCATAATTGAATAATACCTCAATGAGGATCAAATGTACATCATTATCATTATTTCACAATGAACCCTGACAGGGTGATCGGGCGTTTATTTGGAAGGGTTTATATTAAGTCTGACTGTACATTATTCCACTTTTATATGGGTTTTTAATTGAATGTAATATTTTTTGTTCTGTTTTGATTCTAAAATAATAAGAAACTTAAACAAGAAATTTGTGAGTTGGTAAGATTTGTTAATGTTTTTGAAAAGTCTCTTATGCTCACCAAAGCTGTATTTATTTGATGAAAAAGACAGTAAAAATACTAAAACTGTAAAATATTATTAAAATTTAATATAATTGTTTTCTATTGTAATATATTTTAAAATATAATTTATTGCTGTGATGCAAAGCTGAATTTTCAGCATCATTACTCCAGTCTTCAGGGTCACATGATCCTTCAGAAATCATTCTAATATGCTGATTTGCTGCTCAAGAAATATTTAATATTATAATCAATGTTGAAAACAGTTGCGCTGCTTCATATTTATGTAAAGCCATATTTTTTTCAGGATTCTTTGATGAATAGAAAGTTCAAAAGTATGCTTAAACAGTATGTTTAAAGGGGTCATATGATGCTGCTAAAAAGAACAGTATTTTGTGTATTTGGTGTAATGAAATGTGTTTATGCGGTTTAAGGTTCAAAAAACACATTATTTTCCACATACTGTACATTAGCATGTGGGGGCGTGTTAGAACGAGCCGTTTAGGTAGGAGTGGTCGAATCTTAACTTTTATAAAGAATATCTCTTTGGATTTGAGACTTTAGTCTTTGCAACTTTACAGATCTTCTTTATGCACCAAGAGCTTGTAACACTCCAAAGAGAAAGGAAAAATTGAAATCGCATCATATGACCCCTTTAAGATCACATAAATCACCATTGTATGATTTCTAATCAAGCACAGAATATTTTAAAAAGTTTCCATGTCACTCTGACTCATTATGTTGCTAGTTTTAAATTTTAATAGTGCTGGAATTTAATCTCAAGTCGGCATCAGTCTCATTTGGAAATAGACTAAGACTTTCCTCAATTATCTGGCTGTAAACGAACACACTCGTACAGTTCTCCACGAGAGCTTCTGGCTTCCCTCGCAGACGGTTTTTGTTGTGAGCGGTCTGTGTTAAATATATCATGACAGCTGGGTGTCTCTATGGCCCTACTGTTTTACACATTCTCCTGCAGCTTCCAGAGTTCAATGGACTAAAAACCATAAAATAAACAGTAATGTTGTTAATGTTATTGAGCCTCCATCTTTGCAGGGAGTGTGTAGAGACTCTTCGCTGAAGAGCGAGAACATCTGGCCTAAAATGACACCCTGGTGGGCCGTGCCTCATTGTTGTCATTGTAAACTGATGACTTAATAGCATGCATAAATGGAAATTAGGACTCGGGGGAAACTGGCGGAAGGCCAATCACTAAATCGCTGAATAATCCTGGTGAATTTTTAGTTGACATTTCTTTAGTTGAGCGCACTGCCTTTTAGTATTATGTATTCACTCTTATAGTATTATAATTTTTTAATATTACCTTTATTTTTGTATTTTCTGGTTTCATTGAAATTTTTGTTTAGGTTTTGGAATTTTGTTATGATTGTCATTTTTATTAGTTCTCGTATTTTAAGATTTCTATTTAGCTATATTTAGTATTTTTCATACTTCAACTTTTTTAAAAATTATTATTTCAGTTAGTTGCCAGGGCAACATTTCAAATTTTTAGGTTTTTCATCAAATATATATTTTCTTAAATTTTGTTTCTGCTTTATTTCAGTTACAAAAATGATTGTTAATAGTTTGAGTCAGGGTTATTATAGTTAACTAAACGTAAAACCATAAAAAACAATTTCATTACTTAAAATAAAATAAACTTTAACTGAAATGAAATAGGAAAGAAATGTAAACTTATTTTATTTCAGCTAGTTTCCAAAGCAACATTTCATTTAGTTTAATTTCATGCACTAAAATAACTAAAACAAAAAAAATATATACAGACATATTAAAAAAATACTTATATAAATTACACTCTTAAACTTTAACTACAAAATCTAAAAGTGAAAACTAGTTCAAAATATTAATCAAAACTGTAATAGTATCTCCATGATACTAAAATAACACTGGTTTTAGTTAACAATAACAATGCTAGACATATGAAACAGATTTTTTGGTGTTTTTACGTCTTTAATTGATTTTTCCGTACATTTCTGCCATATGTACATTAACTGACAGTCACCACTGATAAGCTACCACTAAATATTGTAGAAACTTAATTTGCTATAAAGTTGCTTTGCAATGATTTGTATCGTGAAAAGCGCTGTACAAATAAACTTGAATTGAATTGAATTTTAATGCATGTAGTTAATATTCATATAGTTGAATTTTTTTAATTGTTTAAAATCTTTATCTTTTTCAGCAACTTGGTATCAGACAGTTCACACGTGGGATATCAAATACTTCCACTATGGAACCGTCCAGATCAGAAATGAGTATCCTGCCCAATGGGAAAGGTCAGGACCTGGGAGAGGAAATGTGCGTGTCGATGAAGACTATGATGGAGGAAGAACAGTAAGCACTTTTGCATCACTTCAATTATTCAATTTTATCTGTAAAAACTTAATTGTCATGCACTGTAAGATAAGTTCCTTGCATGTGTGTCTGTCTACATAACGGGAAGTGTTTGCTTTCTCATGTACCACCTGCATGGTGGACCAGGCCTTTTTAAACAGTGGTTCTTAACTGGTTTTTCATGATTTTTAGCATTGCGTTTTCCCTGCCTTCCTCCAGCCCATCAGAACAGACCTGTAACCCATTTGAACATATATCAGTTTCACTGTGTCTCTGTGCTTCTGTACTGAGGTCTTTCTTTTGTATGCTCCTCAAATCACTTTTATCTTCTGGCATGGTGTGCTGACTTGTCTAAGTGCATGTTTACCCTTTTTCCACTCTTGCTCGATGATGGACCTTCTCACACTCTCTATCAACCTCAGAAACGGTACGCATCACAGCAGGTATGTCAATAACAGGAAACAAATGACTGCTAGATGCAGTTAGGGAAAATTACTTGATGCACCTTGCAAGATCATTGTCGATTAAATGTCGATTGTCGTCCTTCCAACAGGTTTGATGATCCTGACAGCACACTTGCTGAGAACATTGAGTTCCTGCCCAACAGTGAGGGCAAGAAGCCACGTTTCACTGATGTAAGTATGTGCAACATTTGCTGTGAACTTTCAACCGAAAGCATATCACAGTTAGAAACGGAATGATTTTTCAGACTGAGAGATTTGACTGTGTTGATGTTCTCGGTTAGCTGTTGTAACAGTTATGTTTTAGTTGCTCATCAATTTCATTTCCTCTCTTAGTTTGAGGGGAAGACCTCTTTTGGCATGTCAGTCTTCAATTTGGGCAATGCCATTATGGGCAGTGGGATTTTGGGATTGGCCTACGCTATGGCCAATACTGGCATACTGCTTTTCCTGTAAGTGAAATCCCTTCATTACCCTCTTAACGAAAGATTGGCTGGAAAAGTAATTGATTGTTGTATGTTCTGATGTGAAGCATCACTGAATCATCTCATAATCATGCAAATGAACCTGTCACTTCCAGCCCTCAACGAATCAGCGTTTTCACTTCATCTGAATGTCAAGCATTTGGCAGAACACTGGCTGTATAATTGCCATGGTAATTAAAGTATTGTTTTACATGTGTTATTTTTTTCAGACATGCTCTTGAATAATTGAGTTTTCCCTTTTGGAGGCTGTTAATGTTGATGGTGTACCAGAAAGGGTTTACTATGGAAAAGATCCGCCCCGTTGCATTCTGTTAAATGACACGTAACCCACCGTTTGACCTTTTCTAAAAACATCAGGCCCGTGTTTCAGGGTTTTTTAAGGTACTGCAAGTTAAAAATGATGACAAACTCATAAAATAATGTATGCCAGCAAAAAAAAAATTAGTTGGTTAAATTAAGATTATTATGTTTTATCAGGCTGGTTTTTAAAGTGTTTTAAAGAAAGGGATAATGTACAGTTAGCTGGTATTTATTATTTATTTTGCAATAATAAATACATTTGTGTGTATATATAATTTAAAATAAATATTTTGGAATTTTTATACACTTCCATTAAATATATATTCAAAACTATACCCATTTAATATATACATTTAAATACAATTAATATATACATTTAAAATTATATATATATATATAAATATTATTAAATGGGTGTTTACTGAAGTATATATATATTTAAGAAATGTTTTAGTTATTTTAATAAGTATATTCATAATTAATAATTACATTTTACACTTAATAAATATAAAATAGATAAATAGATAGTGTGTATATATATATATATATATATATATATATATATA